GACAGAAGCATCTTCCTGAAATCTTCAAGCATCTGGAGGTCAACCCCAGGATGTTTCTTGCAGCTGGTAGGAGATAGGCTGAGCCTATCACCTTGGCGGTGGAGATATCTTCAAGACACTCAGGTTTTCTACTGGTGTGGGCAGACCGAACCTGAGAAGACACTCCTACCAGTCCTCAGCTAAAGACCTGTGGATATTTCCAGCTTCAATGCCAAACACTGCAGTATTAGAGGGAGATGAAAAGGGCCTGGAGGCAAAGCTGCTTCCTTTCAGTCAGGTCATTTACTGTTTTACATGCGTTGTCCTTGTTCTTCCCTTCTGGGTCAATGAGAAGTGACTCAGATGGGAAAGTATCTCTTGTTCATTGGATTAAATCTTGAAGGAACATAGGGGATAATTAAAGCAGGTGACAGCTAAGCTGAGCAAGTGATTTACATTATTGCATTGTTAACAATGCCTTGGAAAGCTGGATGGAGCAAATAATCTCAAAACAAGTGATTACTCCCTCAGTCAGTCAGGATTGATGGGAAGGGAAAAGATACTGGCTTGAAAGCAAAAAGAAAAAACGAAACTAGAAAAATTTGATAAGGAAGGAAGACAAATTCCCACTAGTTATAAATATATGATCAATCCTTTCTATGCACTTTATGAACAGAAAGGGAGAACGTACCTTAGTAGTTATTAACTCCCACAGGATTCCCCCATAGGACTGCTGTATCCATGTGCTGGCCGCTGGGCAGGCAAGTGATAAATATGAAGGTCCCACCCAGAAAGAGTTAAGTGTTACACAGAGGTTAGTTGAAATAATAACCTAGAGATAAGAGGTGCCTGCACTGATTTTAAAGGAGGAAAAAAAAAAAAGGCAGGTGAATCATTACATACAGGGAACAAGACTCCTTATAAAAATAAATCATCTTGTTCCCTACATTCTTGTTTGTTCCCTACATTTCTGTCGTGGTGAATATACAAAGCATCACTAATTCTCAGGCACAGCATACAACACATGCCTGGGGCAGAGGGGATAGCTATAGTAAGGTCTGGTGGGAATTTGGAAAGAGCAGCAGAGTTAAGGAAACCCTTTGTACTTGCGGTCTGGTCTGATCTGTTTGTCCCAGGTCCCGCAGTAACCAGTATCCCTCATGTCCCAGCCCAGTACAAAGGTGGAAACCAGCATGGAGAGAGCTACCAAGCTTTCTATACCCATCTTCAGCTCCAATCTATAGCAGACTGACATGCTACCAGGTGTGAAAGTCACAACTCTCTGCTCAGCAGGGTGCTTTGAGCCTACAACTTGTCAGATTGATTCCCCAAGGCCACCTTCCAACAACTTGGTTCCCGGAATCACCCAACATTTACGTGCTCAATAGGCTTGAGAGAGGGCTGAAGTGTCTTCCAAAGCTGTGCCAATATAATGATTTTAAAGCCAGGCAGAGACATGCTGGATCTTGGCCATACATTGTAGAGAATTGTAGTAAAATCAATTAGTAAGAATAAGGCTGCTGTGACTAATGAGCTAATGAGTGATGCCTGAGTGAAAATGGCTCTAAGAGAGCTGCAGGGTTGGATTCCTGATGCATTATTCATACAGATAGGCCAGATTCAGGCTTGGCACTGTTTATGTTTTACTTTGCTTTTCCAGGTTTCTCTTTAACTTTTAAAGACGCTCCTCATCAATACAAGAAATGGAGGAGATATCTGTTTAATGCCTCTCTTAGGTGCGAAGTAGCTCTCGTCTCTGGAGAATTATGTTTTCTAGGAGAGATAGGTGGGGGACGTGATGCGTCAGAGCTGAAGTTCATGGTAATTTAATCCCTGGCACTCTGCACAGGAGCAGGTTTACTGATTAGACAAACCCATCCTTTCTGCTGGCTTCCTTAAGTGGCTTTCATCATTGACATTATTTTGAAGCTACTAGGAGGAAACTGAATTGTTTGAACAAATCTCCTCTTTAGCTTTTCTAATGCAGAGCTTATATTGTAGTTATGATCAACCCTACAACAGGCACTAACTTAAAATCTACAATGGGGAAACTGAGGTTAATTTTCCAAGGTCAGCTAGCAAATCATTAGAATAAACCTCTTAAGTATGTGGCTTTCAGGCCAGCGCTCACTCCTGTTGCTTCTAGTAACTTGTGCACCTCCTATCAGGGTTGCACAAAAATAACAGGAGAGCACTGATGAAAAAGGAGCATTAACTAGTGGTTAAACCATGTGGAATACAGTGCTGGCTCTATTTCTGGAGTTGCTGCTACCTTGCTCCATGAGCCTAATTAACGTCTCTGCATCTCAGCTTCCTTATATCTGATTCTGAGATAACAATACTCCTCTTACAGGAGTGCTTTTGGGTTTAACCTACTCGTAGGTGTGCAGCAAAAGATTAGCCCTAGTGTACGATGTCGTCATGTCAGCACCCTTCCACATCTACCTTTGGATCCAGTCATAGCTTTTGCTCATACATCTGTCTGCTCTGGAAAGCTGTGGGATTCCTAGGAGAAATATAAAGAGCTGATTAGAATCAAGAAAATGGAGCGTTTAAAATGGTCAAGTCAAGAAGGCTCTCAGTGGAAACCAGTGCCTGCACTTCTCTAAGCACATACACAGCCTACGGTCCCTGAAACTCTGCACTGGAGGTTCATGGGCATATCTTAGGACTTCCCAGTGGCAGCTCCTCAGCCTGGTAATCAGGCGGCGTGAGCCAGTCTACTGGGAGGTTATGGGATTTGGAGACTATTTCCAGCATGGATGCAACTGTTGCAGGACTGCTCGCATCAGATGAAGATGCCTCCACCCAGAGACTGTCTCAGCTGGCTGGCGAGGACAGGAAAGGGGTTTGACACAGGTTTCTCTGGCTGGAAATAAATATTTGACTCCGAACTTTTATCTATGATAACAAATTCCTCCAAAATGCAGGGAGTTCTTGTACTAGTTTGCCTTTGAACACATACACTAGAAAATGTCTTTTTTTTTTTTTTCAAATCCATCTTGTGGGTTGTTGAGACAGACTTATACAGCTTGTATCTTTTGTTTGTTTTGTTTTTTTTTTCTCTGTAGTTAATGGAAAACCCCCAATACAATAGGCTGTGATTACCCACGGAAGAATAAAAGTAGTTCAACAAAACACTGTTTGGATGTTCTTATTAATTCTTGTTATTTCTTTGGTGACTTGCCAACACTGCAAGGCAATAGCATAGGGTGTGCATAAAAGAGGAAACATTTCAGGCGATGCTTAAAGACTCAGATAAGATCAACTGAAACTATAAACAAGTGAGGTATGTTGTCACCCCCCAAAAAACAACCCTCCAAACTGAAGGAGGGCACAGGATTTAAGCAGGGTGTTGGCATATATTCTTCTATCCAAAATCTTATAATGTGATGGAGATCACATTTCAGATGTGCATGTGAAACCAATCATCTAACACACATTGTTTGAGGCCACTTAATACCAGAAACCAAAAACCACACCCCTTTCCATGTTTACTTTTTTTTTTCCTAAGAACAAAGCAAACATGATCAGCATATTTTCCCTTTCTTAATAGGATTATAAAATCCTTTGCTGAACATGAGGAATGCCAAACCAAGAATATACCAAAATGCCTTCCCCTAGATAATTTTGGGCTGGAAATAACTGCTAAACTTTCATAACCAACATAATGACTGTATTATGGAGGCAACTGTGAAAACAATGGGTCTGAATTCCTGAGGGTGTGGATCACCCAGAAGTGTTGTTTGTAAATGAGGCAGGGCTTGCTAAAATGATGAGACCACTGGAGCTCCAGGTTTGGAGAGGCGATGATTGGGTTGTTTATCTGGGAATAGCAGGAGACCTTTTAACATTTCAAGAATTTGAGTGATGCTAACCCTGAATAAAGTTCCCTGAATAAAGATGGTGCGACAGATAACAAAGGTGGTGGGAATGTCTCCAAGGACATCTTTGTTTCAGCTTTCCCTCCTTTCTTTCCTCATTAAAAGTGGGTGTTGGGAGGCATCTGGCATAACCACAGAAAGTCTCCTTACCGTTTTTTGCAATTCCACAATCAAACTTGCTCATCACACATTGTAGGAGGATTTAGTAACATGGGACTGGCCTGAGGCACAGGAAAAGCAGGCAGATCCCTGGGGCAGCAGAATTTGGGGATGGAAAAGCCAAGGTGTTCGGCAAGAAAAGAAGTCGTGGGCTTGCTGCCACACTTGGAGAGGGTTGGCTTAGAGCAGAAAGGCTTCTCTATGCACCATCCTCCCTGAAAGGCTCAGGATAGCGAGCCTCAGAGACTCCCTTGGCCCAAACTTTCACGGCCTGGTCCTGTGTCTTCCCAGTGCTCTGACCACTTCTGTCCAAAGAGGACAGAGAAAGGAGAGAGAGAGACAGCGTGCTCTCACCCACAACCCCCTGAAATCCTGCTCACAGCTTGGGGAGAGGTATTACAATACCAAAACCCCAACCATGCTGTTTCCAGTAAGTAAGGGATTGCAAGTCAGCTTTCCACTTCTCCTGGTGATAAACTCTGGCCCCTACTGAGGGTAAAATCACAGAGGAGAAAAGTACATGAGGTTCAATGCCTTGCTGTTCACAGCAACAGATGCTTTTTTCCAGGTTTCGTGGAAACCACCCAGGTCTCTCTAACCACTACAAAAAAGAAGAAATATCACCAAGCTCCAAGGCAAGGCATAGACACTGGGATTATTTAATACCCGTGGGCTTATACATCATGCCTAGAAAAAAAAGCACCTGCCTTAAACAATCATCTCAGCTATTGTCCACCATGCAAACCCTCATTTTCTTCTCCAAGGAACATGAAAAGAGATGACATGACGGTATGGCAGGAGGTGGGACCTGCTTTGTAGCTCACTCAATTCATTTATAGCTCAATCAGACTTGTTTTTCCAGTAGAATTAGATCTGGGGTCAGAATTGGTACGTGGCAAGCCACCAGAAGGTGTGCCATTAAAGCCAGCGGTGAAGAGCGGTGGCAGCCCAGTGACCAGGGGACGAGATCCGTGCAAGATGAAGATGTTTCTGTCTCTTCTGTTGGTTGCCATCACTTGCGTGGAGTTCGGTAAGTTCCTGCTTTAATTTATCCAAACTTCTGCAGGAGATGCAGCATGATGGGATGGAATGCATCCTGTTCCCTCTGAAGTCCATGCCTCCCACTTTGAGCAGTTTTCAGCAAAAAATCTGTCTTTGGAATATTTCCAGCCTGTCAGGTGTTCAGGACCATCATGGTCTCATTGGGGTTGTTAGTTCAGGCTCTTTAGGAAGTGTTACAAGACAAAGTGTGATTATATTATGTCATTTCTTTAATGCAAATTCCAGCTCTCACTTTTTACACGTTCTTGCTCAATGTCGTTCACATCTTTTTTTTTAAACTTTCTGTTCCTCTTTTGATACTTAACCCTGAAGCCAGCTAGCCAGTTTAACACAGCGTGTGTAGCGGATCTCTCTAATTATATGTTGCATGTGTGGTTTGTTAAACTTCAGCCATTTAAAGTGGGAAAGATGGGCTGGGACACAAAGCTGGTGGCCCAGATACTGCAGGGCTGATTTTTCAAGCTCTATTTAGTAACACACTGTGATTTGCATGAAGTCGAAGACAATTTTGGCAGACTACCTTGGAAAACGAACAAGTGTGAAGCGCCCTGTTCATTTTGGGGATTTGTGTGTGCTTGTTAATGGAGAGACGACAGTTCAGAGAGGAACATCATTAATTAATAGAGGATGGCTTGGAGAGAAGAGGACTCTATGGTCAGATCTCCTTAAGTGACGGACAAGAATCTGAAAGGCAGAATGTAGCAGGAAAGCAATGGGGTGGGATATACATTTGGTCTAGGATTGACTCACCAACCTGATTTTGCCATCCTGCTTCATGAGATTTTGTCAAGAATTGGGCAGCTGGGGAGCAGAAGCTCCTGCTGTGACCCAGTGCTGCCACGTTTCTCCCTTCTCGTCCTTCCCCAATTCCCTATCCCATTCAGGTGGTCAGAGTCAGGATGAATGCTTTGATTTGGCAGGCAAACATTGGCAAATTTCTTCTGCACACTCTCTCCTCTGCAAAGCTGGGATAAACCCATGACATATCTGCAGCTCCTCCAGGCTTTCTTCTGGGCATGAGTGGAATCTGTGTAATTTTGGCTTTTCCAGGAAAGACAGTCAGAGTTGAAGCATGCAAGATCTACCAATATCCAAGTGAAGCTAGTAAAAACCTCTCCTATGAAATTCCAAGATTTTTTGCTTTTTTATCTCCTCCTTTGCTTTCAGCACTCTAAAAAGAATGTGCTATAACTACATTGAAATATTTTAGCATTTTCTATTTACTTCTTCTTTTAAATAAGACTTCTAATACGTCTCTGTTGTTTTTATATTGTAATTTCATTTTTAAGCTACTGCATGTCTGCTTGCCTATGTTAAAGATTGTAGGCTCTTGAAACAAAAAGGCATGACTACAGTTTTGTTATCTTCACAAATATCTACCCTTCACAAATAGGCCAGGTGGATATTCCAAAGCTTGCTTTAAACAGAGCTTTTAGACCACAGGTCTTCAAGTCTCCAAGTCTTGGTGTTTCCTCCCTGCTCTGTGTGATGCCAGTTGTATATTGCTGCTGAAAAGCTGCCTCATTTGCAAAAGTAAAGTTGTTTCATTCCAGCTTTTTGTTATTTTACTGTGTTAAACACTTCCTGATCTGCTCTCTTTTCCACCTCAAAAAAACCCCACCCACAACCAAAACCCACAAACCTCATATCTGTAGCTACTATTTAACATATTTAGCTGTGTTTGAGGCTGTTAGTCTGAGTGAAATTAATGAAAATACTGGATTTGCACACATTGGGGACAATGCTCTCTTAATTTAATGTCCCTTTGTGCTTATCTTTTGTTTGGTTTTTGGTGTTATTCTTTTTTTTTTTTTTCAAAGAGGAACACAAATGCAGTGGCTTTGTCTTGTCCAGGGACGAGTATCATGAAATCTGAGAATAATGCCAAAGCTTCCTCCCTAAAGATGTATTTGACAGCTGTCAGACAGAATTAATGCAAATAAAACATCAGTCCACAATGGGTAAAAAAGAATAGCAAAGTTTGCTTTGAATAAAAGCAAGATAATTGTTGTGTCTGTTTATAAAAAGGCTCTTTCTGGCTTACTAGTTAGGGTGAAGTTGCATTATCTGTTTTCCTAAGGTGGCTTCCTTGCCTGAGGCTGCTGTTATGACACCCCATTTCAGGGGTGCTGACATGAGCTGAATTGTTTTTCTTTTTCAATGGGGTTTAAAGGAATTTCCGCAGGGCTGTCACACAGATGGGGTGAGAACTGCTTTCCAGACCAAGGAGGGGCTGCTGGTCTGTAATGGTACCAAAATGCATTGCTATGCCTGCAAGGCACACATATTCAGGTGTCTTCTAGGGGGTGGAAGAGAGGACCTAGACCAAGAGTTAGATTCCTCAGAAAGACTTTCAGAGAGCAAAGTGCCCCGAAAAGCTTGTCCAGAAATGGCTTTCCTGGTGATAGGAAATACCAGACACTATTTTGGCTTGATACCTTTAGCTTGGAGTGCTCTGGAAATACTGCATTGCAACCATCTGGGCTCTTCAGTGTCTCTCTCTAAAATCTCTCCATCTCAAAAGACTTTAGGCACTGACAGACTTGGGTTGTGGTTATTCTGTATGTCGAGGAGCCAACTGGCACCTGCAGGCTTGCAAGGGCCTTTGCATCTCAACAGGGAGATGATGAGGAGTATCTATGAACTGGTGAGAGATGAGGCAGGGTGAGCTACCTTGGACTGGTTTTGGAGACTTGGGTACCAAAGTCTCGTTTCCATGGTCTCTGCCTGGAGCAGGACATGTCCCCATGCGTTCTATTATTGTGGCCACTGCCATCTTTTTAAGGTAACTTCTTAACATTCTTCTCATGAAACTAGAATCTCAGCACACGGGAAAGATTGTGCTTAATTTGTTCTCCTGGCTCAGTAAATTTGGTGGAGACAGTTCCTTCTTTCTGGGACACTCTCCTGTCCGAGAGGTCCCAGTCTTTGGAAAGAGCTGACAGAGTGGAGCAGCACCAGATGCAATTCTCTGTGCTGCAACTCACATTCAAGTCTGACTTTTCTGTGTATCCAGATCCTTCACCCAGGGGAAGTTATGCTTGACCAACTTGATAAACTTCTGTGATGAAGTGACTGGACTGGTAGACGAGGGGAGAGGAGTGGATAATGTTTGCCTGGACTTCGGGAAGGCTTTTGACACTGTCTCCCATAAGATCCTCCTAAACAAGCTGTTGAGGTGTGGGCTGGATGAGCAGACAGTGAAGTGGATTGAAAACTGGCTGGTAACTGAAAACTGGCTGGTAACTGAAAACTGGTGGGTGGTGATCAGTGGCACGATGTCTATTTGAAGCCAGTAACTTGAGGTGTACCCCAGAGGTCAATACTGGGTCCAGTCCTCTTTAACATCTTCATTAATGATCTGGATGATGGGGCAGAGCTCACCCTCAGCAAGTTTGTGGGTGACACAAAGCTGGGAGGAGTGGGTGATGCACCAGAGGGTCATGCTGCCATCCAGAGGGACCTTCACAGGTTGGAGAAATGGGTTGACAGGAACCTCATGACTTTCAACAAGGGGAAGTGCAAAGTCCTGACCCTAGGGAAGAACAAACCCATGCATCAATATATGCTGGGGGCCATCCAGCTGGAAAGCAGCTTGTCCGAAAAAGTTCTGGGGGTTCTGGTGGACACCAAGTTGAACATGAGCCAGCAATGTGCCCTTGCGGCAAAGAAGGCTAATGCTATCCTGGGTTGCATTAGATGAAGTATTGCCTGCAGGTCGATTTAGGTGATCCTTCCCCTCTATTCAACACTGGTGAGGTCACACATGGAGTCCTGTGTCCAGTTTTGGGCTCCCCAGTACAAGAAAGACATGGACATACTGGAAAGAGTCCAATGAAGGGCCACAGGGATGAGTTTCTCTCCTCTGAGGAAAAGCTAAGAGAGCTGTGACTGGTCAGCCTGGAGAAGAGAAGGCTCAAGGGGGGATCTTATTAACATCTATAAATACTTGAAGGGACGTTGCAAAAAGGACGGAGCCAGGCTCTTTTCACTGGTGCCCAGTGACAGGACCAGAGGCAACGGGCACAAACTGGAACACAGGAGGTTCCTCTGAACATCAGGAAACATTTTATTACTGTGAGGGTGACTGAGCACTGGCACAGGTTGCCCTGGGAGGTTGGGGAGTCTCCATCCTTAGAGATATTAAAACCCTATCTGGACACAGTCCTGGGCAGCTGGCTCTAGGTAGTCCAGCTTTAGCAGGGGTATTGGACCAGATGACCTCCAGAGGTCCCTTCCAACCTCCACCGTTCTGTGATTCTGTGAGTTTGTGAGTCTGTGATCTCTTTCTGATGCTCTACTAATGCAAAGGCAAGGAGAAAAGCAGATGCAAAGTAAGAACAGAGTTGAGGTAAACACAAGGTCTTTCCTATATCATGGGGTCTTCTGTGTGTGGCTCTCTCTTGCTTGACTTGTTACAAGGGGTCTGAACCCACATCTGAAGCTGTGCTTTGACCACCAGACTACCGTATTTCTCATTCCCATTGGTATGAATGAATTTTATTATTCCATTCCTGTTCTCAGTATGAATATTTTGGAAAGTTACCCTCCCCAGAGGTACCTGGAGGGGCACAGACAAAATCTGGTGGTCCACACTAAGGCCAGCCTCATGTTTTTCCTCCTTGCAGCGCAAACCTTGAGATGTTACACTTGCCATGAACCTACCGCTGTTGAAAAGTGCATGACGATCCAGAAATGTACGAAGAATGAAACCATGTGCAAGACAACCATGTATTCCCTGGAGGAAGGTAAGAGCAATGAATTTTTTATATTTTCAACATGAGCCAGTGTTTCTACAATGAAGACTGCTGCTGTGGGGAGCAGTACCTTTACTCGCTTAAATATGTAAGCCTGGAAGAGAGCTCTTGTGGGCCAGAGAGCAGTCTTCTGTTGTTGCAGAAAGCAGTCTCCATTGTAAGTGAATACTTAGTAAATGCAAGCTCATAGTTAATGCTCAGTGTTGAGAATGGTTAGAAAAAACATGTTGACTTAAGCTTGAGACTTGTAGCTAAAGAGTTCTGGCTCTCCAGACCCTTTCCATGACTCGCAAAATGAGTGTGGGTTAACAGTGCTCTCCTGACCCAAGAACTGTTTATGAAAGCTGGTTTGAGTACAGAGGCCAGTAGAGATAAGCGAAGCTCGGTAATGTGAAGGCACCAACTTCTGGTCATCTGGAGGCAAAAAAGAAATGCCCTTGAATTCTCTGGAGCTCTCAGGAAGGCATCATCAGTCTGACTGATGACCCTACAGTTTATAACCTGTCCAAATAAAGAAATGCACTGGGAAGTGCTCTCTCTTTCCCATGGTCCTACTGATAAGGCTCTGATCGCACATGGGAGAGGCAGGAGATAGAGAGTAAAGTCAAAGCAGAGGAAGAAAAAGTGCCTAACTGACCTTTCGCAAGGTAAAGCTGATCCAGGCAGGACACAGAGGATGCAAGGTGCTGTTCAGCTTGCAGCTACTCCCTGGGAACTGTTTCCTATATTCCTGGTAGGAAGAAGACCAGTTGTGTTTGAACTGGAGCTAAGACTTCAGTGGTGAAGGCAGCTAATGTTTCACTAGGGACAAGGAGAGTTCTCCTCTATTCCTCCCATTCCTAACCGTTCCTTCTTTCTTGCTTTGTTGTAGTTTATCCCTTCACAGGAGTCTCAACTGTCACCAAGATGTGCTCTTCCATCTGCATCCCATCCGACGTGGACGGGATTGGCATGACGCGCCCCGTCTCCTGCTGTTACTCTGACTTGTGCAACTTTGATGATGGTGCAGCTAGTTTGAGGATCAGCTTTGTGCCAGTTGGGATGCTAGCAAGTTCCCTTTGTGTCCTCTTCTGGACTAGACTGTGAGGAGCTGCTGGGGGGGTCTTTCATGCTGAAGAACCCAACAAAGAAGAGAATAAACCTCTGCCAGCCCAGCTTTCTGTTTGGGTGCCTCATGGAGAACCCTCAAAAACTCCCAGAAATTGCTTTTTTAGTACTTTCCCTTTTCCCACAACCAAGAGAGAAGCAAAACTCAGGAGGTCCCGACAAAAATTTTTGAATTGACTCAACAACTCCTGCAAAACTAACTATGGAATTTCTTTGCTGTGCTGGTCTGGTTGGTTTTGAACTAAAAAATTCTGCTGTATGAAATATATTTAAAGCAAGAAACCTTGTGCTAAAAGCCTTCTGTACCTCCTTAGAGCATTTTTCCCCCAGAGTTAGCCAGCAGAGTAGTTGAATTGACCAGTCTTCTCAGATGAAATTCACTTATGTGGCAGATCCTCTCCACCCCACAGTTTTGTGCTGGCTCTTTGTGCTGTCTGATCTCCTTCTTTGTACATAAGAAATTAAGGAGACTAAACTTCCAGTGCCAGTGACCTGATCCAAGGAGGCTAAAATCTCTTATTTTCTGTACCTTTTGAGCAGAATAAAAAGTATGTTGTGTTAAAACTGTAGTGATCACTAAAGTTATTTATAGTGCAACTCTGATAAATATTTAATTTAATTTAATTTAATTTAATTTAATTTAATTTCATTTCATTTCATTTCATTTCATTTCATATTATTTACTTTCCAAACTCCAGTTCCACCTTTCAGTATTGTTTATACAGTGAGACGACTTAAGTTTTGTGGTCTTGCAGCAGATGTGTAAGACATTTCCTGTTATCCTCCACTGGCAGTGGCCTTCCATCAACACTTCTTCTACCAACTCCACTGGTATGAAGCTATCTTTACTGGGAAGATTGGGTGATTTCTGTAATGGTTCTGGCCTGAATTTGGAATTCAGTGGAATGACTTTGCCTCTTGCTTCAATCCTCCAGAGCATCACCTGCAATTCCTTCTGTGTTGGTAAGGGCTCCTGCATTTTGATGTTATCCATTCTGGTCTGGTTGTACATTTTCCTATAATCCCCTTTACAAGATTTGGCAAAAATGACCTCCTCCAATTATCACTCTGCTTGTGATATTTGGAATAATCAATAAACATGTGATTTAAAGTCTTACATGTAGCATACACATTACAGCAGGTTTCCAAGAGAGGTGGTACAATTACCATCCTTGGAATTTTTCATGACTCAGTTGGATGAAGTCCTGAGGAACCTGGGCTGACCTCACAGCTAAGAGCTTTGACTGGGGACTTGGATTAGAAACCTCCTGAGGTCTTGCTTCCAGCTGGACTTTCCTGTAATCCTATGATGCACCCACTAAGACCACCAGAGCACAAACACCACTATTTCCAGGCATTCTGCAAAGTCTGGCAGATACTTCTGCAATGATTTTCACCTGTGCTGCATTGCTTCCCATTGCCAAAATGAGAACAAATTTGCAATGAACCGAAATTCTGGATCCACACACAGCTCCCAGGTTGCCTAAATATAATTTCTTTGCTGGAACAACATTGAGTAAGTGGTCAGGATTTTGTGCTGGCATGGAGGTGGCTGGATGAACCACATCCATGGCTACAGAAGGACTTTGGAAAGAAGCTGCAGGCTTGCATTAGCTGGCAGTGTGTGCTTTGCAGTGTCCTCTACCCATAAGTCATGCCCAGAGCTCAGTCGCCAGAGATGTTTGATATATTTTTGGCTTTCTGTTGCACAAGGGTGGTACATGAAGGTTCTCCCTTTTTACCTGTCAGTTCTGGCAGTCAGCAGTCTCAGGTTTGCTGGCCCAGGGGCTGCATCAGGACCACTATGTATAGTAACCAACAGTGAAACACCACCAATATGTCTTAATGTATGTTGATTTTATTCACACTCCCAGCCTTCACAGCACACTTTTAGGCTTAATGCCACCATTTCATTAAGGGTTGTTTGTTTCTTTTTCAAACCCTTTGCCTCGTAGTTTCATTCAGACCCCTTGTTCTCATGGATGAGCAGTAGTGAGACTGCTCCCTGTCTACCTTTTCTACACCATTTATGTTACATAGCCCAATGTCCACCCTGGTTGCTCTTTTCCAAGCCAAAGATCCCTTGTCTAAATCCAGATATCGCTCATGAACCCATGAGCACATGAACCCATCTGTACTCCAGGTACCGAGTGCAATAGAAAGAGGATGGCGAAAGAAGGGTGTCACACTTTCTCACCAGCCCGAGGACATGCACGAGTGCCAAGATGTGAAGTGGGCACTCCATGTTCTTGCTATGGCTAAGACCTAACACAAGTGATTTGTTATGCACTGGTAAAATGCAATGGTGACAGGCCACCTTGTAGTCCCTGGGTTCCGTCATGCCCACCTCTCTGCTTTTCATTGCATCACTGAGTGATGTTTTTTACATCCAGAAGCCCAGGGAACTTTACCGTAGCTGATAATTTTCTTCTATAATCTGAAGAAATTGAAGTTTCCCTGAAAGCAAAGCTGGAGCCCAGATATGTGTGTACTTCCTCAACTCTGCCCATAGACACTCGTGACAAACCCCATTTTACCTTCTTTCTCCAAGCAAAGCCAAAGAGAACACCATTTATTTTGCATTGTTGTAAATGGAGGATTTCTTAGGACATGGTCAAAATTCCTGGCTACTCACTCACTTGTTAGGGATAGAAAAAATATTAGACATTTCCTATTCACTGTCCAGGAGTTTACATATGTCAGCACTTCTGCACATGAAACCAACATTAATTACATACTTGCAAAACTCAGAAAGGAATACAACTTTCACAGATTTTTACTGTACAACACTGCTCTTTCTCAGACGTGAATTACTGGGCTCAGACTACCCTGTCCTTACCCTGCGTTGGTTGATAAGCAGTGCAGTCATGGCCCAGAACATCACAAAATTATCATGTCAAAGAGCATTTGAAAACAAATACATCAGGAGCCAGATGATTGTGTTATATCATCATCTTAGAGAACAACACTAAAAATGCCACTGCAGTCATGGACACTGAGAGCATAAATCATGGGCAGAGACACTGAAAATGCTTGAAGCCCAGCCATTGCTGGGCTTGGGAATGTAAGCAGAGCATATCTCGCTGGCGGAGCTAAAGTCATGTCGCCAGTAAAGTGCACAGAAGAAAAAACATTGGCTCCCAATTGCAAGAGATGGCGGTATAGCTCTGTAGCCCAGTAAACACAATATTGGCATTGCTCATAATAGGCCATGCTCTTTTTATTGAGTTTGCAAGTTCTCAGGGCTGAGGCTTGTTGGGCTTGCTTGACTCGTCTTGACTTGCCTTCAGCTTTGTTTTTACTTTGCTCAGCTGTAACAGTAGTTTTCCTAATTGGCCAGGCGGCTATGCCTAATTTGCTTTACTTTTGTTTATCTTTGTATGGCGCAACTGTAAGTTTACATAGATAGCCGTAACAAGTAGTTGTTGTATGTAGGTGAGCTATTTACGACTCTGACGTAAAGAAATACAGACCTGGTACAGCAGCAGAGGGCTCAAGAGATGGAGGTGCAAGATGTGCCACAGGGAAGTGCTGGCACGGGGTGATATGAGGTGGGGCACCGGCTTGGCATTAGAGACCCCTCAGCTATAAACAATTCACCAACAGTAAAAAAAACCACAACAAAAAGAAATGCAGACCTAGAGGTGGACAAAATCATCTTTGGGAATAGCAAAGAGAACCATGAGAAAATAGCAAACCAATGCAAAATGCACCATACGTGGTAAAATCCTACGTGAGGTGGACCTGCACCTTCTGACCAAGGAAGAAAGAACAAGGTATGAAAGTGTTTTAGCAAACATAATCAAGATGACTTCCAGTAGATCCTTGGTTGAGGAAGAAGAATCCATTTCCACCATCATACTCCTCCCAGTGGAGGACTCAGAATGCAGATGACTCACTGTACCTCCCTGTAAGGTGGGAAGCAGTAATATTAGTGGAAGAGTGAGCATAAAACCCAGGAAAATGGGTAGAAACTAGTAAGTATGTGTATAACAATTTTAACTGTATTGTTATTGAAACTTTTTTCTGTAATAATAATAATTTCCTCTTTATGTCTGTAATAATTTGATCTTCACTAATCAGTTCTTTGATTAAACTGTTGAGATTTCATACACAGTAATAATAAATTCTTGGCTTTATATGTAAGATGTGTTTCCTTTTTGCCCATAACAAGACTTTGAGTGTAACAAAATTATGGAGATTCCCAGCTGGGTATGGAGAGATAGCTAGGCATACAGATGCTTAAGTAGGCCTTATTTTAAGCGCTGTGTATTTGACTGGAGTACACACCAGTATCTCCATGGGAGGCTGTTAGTCTATCTCCTGACGCTGAAGGCATCTTTGTGGTATCTGAGAAACTCACAGTCAAGGGACATGTTATTCTGGGGAGCAGTGATTTTGAAAATGAAGAAGAGCTCCTAGAGAGACACCAAACCCCTTTGGATTATTGCAGTAAATGTTTTCAATGGGACGTAACATGACAAAGCTGAGAAAGTTGTCACCTCTCTGCTCTGGACTGGTGGGGTTTCTCATGGCAGGACGTGGGGCAGAAAAGCAGTGAGCAGCACTTTTGTCCTTCTTTTGTGCCATACCACTGCTTGAAAATGATCATACTATGAGTTTGAGGACGAGCAGTGCAAATACTTCCATGAGGAAAGGAAATCTAGTAACACAGAACCCTTTGCTCCAGCAAGCAATGGCATAACAAGATGCTATAAGCTGAAGGCAGGCAAATTCAGGCTGGAAATAAGGTGCACATTTTTAACATCAGAGGTCACTCAAAAGGAACAGTTTACTAAGTGCTTGGATGGATTCTTTCTAAGGGGAAATATTTTTTTGTAGAGTGGTGTAACTGAGAATGGGGCAGGATTATGGTGTAAACATCTACACTTGAGCCGTTCCTCATGGGTCCCTTGAGACTCAGTGGAAAGACAGAGAATCATGATTAAATTTGACCAGGGCACAATTAATCTGACATG